ATAAGATTTAGTAGAATTTTCCTTATGCACAGGAGTTGGCACTCTCTCTGCTTCTATTTGACAACTATATGAAGTTATTGGGAGAGATTATTCATCCCAATAGGAAAGGTATCATTAGTATGCTAATGATACTCAATCACCCATCTTTGCCTCTGGCAAACTAAGCAATGCTATTGATGTCTTATCCTGATGCCTGGAAAACCACAGGTTCATTTGAACCCTGGCAAGAATGAGTGGCTCTGGATTGGGGGGGGGGAAGGTTTCTGGATTTGTGGCTTTACTATCTTTGGTATTGGATGGGGTGGCCCAATTTTTCACTGTTTGGGTCCTACTAGACTGACAACTTCTGCTCAAAGAGCAGGGACAGTAATGGCCAGGAGGGCTTTTGCACAGCTTTGAGTTGTGCACCAGTTGTGCCCTTTTCTAGATTCTGATGCTCCACTCACAGTTGCTCACACCCTGGTCAACTCCAGAGTAGATTACTGTCATTTGCTCTACATATGTTTGAAGGCTATCTGGAAGCTTCAACTAATGCAAAATGTGGCTGCAAGGACAGTTATGTGTCCCCGTAGGACGGCACACATTACATCTCGGTTCTGGGAGCCACATTGGCTGCCAGCCTGCTTCAAAGTATAACTCAAAGTTCTGGTTTTGACATTTAAAGCCCTACATGGCATATGATCAGGCTGTCTGAGGGACCACCTCTTCTCAATTATATAGTAGCTACTCATCCCATCACGTCCAGCAGAGCTAGTATGTTGAAGATCTTGTCTGGGATCCAAATGGTGTGCCTTTTCTGCTGTCATCATTTCTCCTGACATGAGATTAGCCCCATCCTTGTTGACCTTTGGAAGGCCCTGAAAATGTGTTTTTTCTATCAACCTTGGGGATCCCATGTACAATGATTATACTATGTTTAGATTGATATTGTTTTGATGGTTAGTTGTACATCACCCAGAGTCATATTCAGTGAGATAGACAGCTGTATAAATTTGTTAAATAAATCAAAAAGTAAATAAGAGAATGTAGCTTAAATGTCTGAGTGTCCTAATATTGGAGCAAGAGTCAGTAAACTCTGTTCTAATTTCTTCCAGTAAATTAAGGAACTACAGTTTTTCCTCCTCTGTTTTTCCCCCCACAGCAATAATCCTTGAGTTGGGAGACAGTGACACTCTCCCACTAAATTTCCATGGATGAACATAGACCTGAAATGATTTCCCAAAGATTTATTAGACATCTTAACCCCTTAATTACATTGAAGTCATATTTCCATCTGTTTCCTTGTATCTGTGTATGTGAGCACTAATACAGATGCTAGTGTGTCTATGACAGAATGATTTGTATATGAAAGTAGGTAGGTTTCAGTTAATTTTGCAAATTGGGTGCCTTATTGCAGAAAACTAATTTTAACCAATAGTTATTATATTAAATGGATAGAATATAAATTCTATAAATATAGATGGGTTGATCTCATCTTTCTTCCACGCAAGAGGTTGTTTTGAATTCAGTGTTGCTTTCTATTTGGGCAAATCTAGTAGATTTTCCTTTATTATGCATAATTAAAATATTATTTCAGTGGGATCTTATTAAAAACTGCAAATGAAATTTCTTGCTTTCCATGTATTATATACAGATCTGGGAAGACCGTGTTGTTACTTTAAGAAACAGCAGTGGGAGTGGGAGAGCAAGAGAAAGTCAGAGGCAAAGTCTCTATGATCTTTGATAGTAGAGTAAAATAAGAAATCTCAGTGATAAAAACAAATTTAGAACTGCTTTCACTGAAGGAAGAGATTACGATAGTAAATTTAACAAATCCTATTTTCCCTCTTGGATATGTAGTCCCATTTCACAGCTACTTCAAACAAGTGTTTAGGCTCTTAAATCATATTTTGGGGGATTTAATGGGGCTGGGAGGAGGGGGAGACTTTTTTCCCTACCTCTCTTCTGCAGAACCTTCCAGTCTGCGGAATTTCAAGTGATCAACATCAAGATTACAAGTGGAAGAGGGCCAGCAAACTGAATCCTAGCAGTACATTATAGATACATGATGTGATGACATGTAGGAATGACTTTGGGAGGCAGGACAGTATGATGCAGACATGTCAAACTCGCGACATCACGTGATGTCGTACAATGTATCGGGACTGTTTTGCCATTGCTGGAAATGGGGTGGGCATGACGCCTCTGGCCCGTGGGCCGGCAGTTTGACTAATCGAAGAAACAGTCAGATAAATGGCAGCTTAATTTGCAGGAGGCATATAGGTAGGCACAGGGGTAGGCAACCTTGGCTCTTTTATGACTCGTAGCTGGCTCAGGAATTCTGGGAGTTGAAGTCCACGAGTCATAAAAGAGCCAAGGTTGCCTACCCTTGAGGTAGGGCAAAAGACTCAGAAGAGACTCTCCCTAGATTTTGGGCTGGAGATGAGGTGAGGAGGGGGGGAGAATTACTTTCAGCGTTCCAAGATTCTGTTAATGTACCCTACAACAAAGTAGAATTAGCTCAACTGGTTATGTTTCCTGTCTGGTCTATCTTGTAAGACTGACATGTGTTTCCTAGCTATGTGATTTGTGGAGTCTGCTCTTTTAGGTGAAGTTGCAATCACAGCTTTTGAGTATTTAGGGTAAAGTCAGTTAATTTCTGTGGCCATGAATGCCCCTGTTACCACCTTGGCTTGATATACCAAATGCATCCTTTCCTGGATGATATTTTTTTCTCTTCACCCCTCCCTTTTTAGTGAACATGTCTTTTGTTGCTTTGATTTATTGCATATTTTATGTTTTATTGGAAGTCCATTGAGTTATAATTACAATGGGAAACAGGAAACAAATATATCGGTGAAATAAGCAATAAAAACAGTTCATATCCTAATCACTATTTGTGCATGAAGACTCTAATTAGGTTTATAGAATAAATGAACTGACACTTGCTGCATTTTGTTAAAAAAAACCAACCCTCATTTATATTATTTTGTATTCAAACTCACCTTAAAAGTTGTTCCTTGGATGGGTAGGAAATTGTTTAAGGTAGCTAACATTTCAGATGAAATGTTTATTTTACTCGTGATTAAATCAGTAGAAAAATACTTTTAATAAACATCTTCCTCTAAATACGAAGAAAGCAGAACATTATCAGACATAATGAATCACTGGAACTGGTTTAAGCTTATTTCAAATAAGTATATATTTTTTTTAAAAAAAGAACTGGAGCAGTAACATCCCGACAAATATTCTATATGGTATTTTGGTGAAACCAGTCTGTATAAAGTTTGGCTACAATGTTGAGATAGGCATTAGGACACTTTATGACAAATTAAAGAATGCTATACTCTTAGAATTCATATGAAATGAGAAGGGATAAAAACTGAAATCATCATTCAGGACAACTCTATAAAAAATTCAATCTTAACTACTTTGTGTTTTTTTAAGGAAGTCAGCGTGCCATAGTTTGTTTGCTTGTTTATTTATAATTATTTTTGGCTGCTCATCTTACCACAAGGTAACTGAGCACTTACCATAAAAGATAAATATAAATATACTAAAAACGTAAATAAGTTAAAAGAAGACAAACACTATGATCCAATTAAATGGACCCATCTATGTAATCACTAGGAATCAAGTTCAATTCAAGGAAGTCTTTACCTTCATAATATTTGAATAAAACAGAAAAGTGGGAGGGTTTCATCCTTGTTAATTTCCTTCTTGTCATACAGCTTCTAACTCAGCAATCTATTTTCTCAGTTTTTTCTAGAAAAGCCAAAACTTTTCTTATAATTGCTATTTTTCCCCAAGATGAATCTGTCACAATATTTTTCTAATGTTCTGGTCAAAATAATCACAAAACTCTGTGCTCCACTTTACCTTTAATTTCCCACAAGTTTAAAAACTTATCTTCAGCATCACTGTTCATCGGCTTAAAAATAATACTGGTATAAACATTCTGATCAGTCTTCTGCTCTCTGTGTGCTGATACGCACAACTTTATATATTTTATGGTTCAACCAGACAATGTACAAATCAGAATGACTTTCTCGGAAACTGAAGTAGATAAAAGCTTTTCTATCTATGACTGTCAAAGTCGAATCATTGTTGATTTTGGTCATATGTTTTCTTATAAATGGTAATTTATAAGAAAACATGGTAAGGCATTCTTACTTCCCAATGAAGTAAGTAAGATGGTAAGGCATTCTTACTTCCCCTGCATACGGCTCCCCCGCTGTTATACGTGTGTCTGTCTCTGAGGGGTGGGGC